AATAAACTCCCAATATAAGATGTACTCCCAAGCCTTCATCAATTAAGATAAAAAGGTTTGACTCTCCACAAATTAAAGTTATTTTTTACTGATGACCCTTTCCTCTGAAGCCCCAGCCCTTCCTCACAAAAGGGCTTAAAAAGTAGAGGGCCTACCCCCCCTTCCCCCCTCCTACACACACCCGCACCCCACCAAAAAATCGAACTCACAGCAATCCCTTACAGGATTCCTCGTCCTTTTACTGCATTAGCAAATGAACATACCTCCCATACTCTGCCAAATGTATTCTCCACAAGTGCTCCTTCACAGACTCCTTTGCTGTCATCTGATCAGATGGTGAACTGGTAAACACTTGTGTAAGAGGTGGCTGAAACTCTTGCTTCTTCTTTGAAACAGGCTTGTCGTCATCTACTGCATATTCCCAATCTCCCCCGACATCCCTGTAGTATAATTATAATATATAATGTTATAAAATGACTAAGAAATAACACGCGCTCTGATTGGTCAATTACCRTTTTGTATAACTCAACATAAATCGTGAGGAAATGACATCAGCAACGCAAGCGATGTTTTAWTATTTCTTTTGAGTTAWTCGTTAGTTATATCTTAGTTATTTTATAAAAGAGATAGAAAACTCCCCTTGCTTGTGCTATGTTGAGTTATAAAAGCACTTGGGAAATTGCKTGAGCCCTCGAGAAGTGCCGAGAAGCACTTCTCCTAGCASTTCTCTYGGACTCATGCAGTTTCCCGCGTKCTTGTATRACTCAACATAGCACGCGCACTCGTTTTCTATCTCTTCAATATTACACTGTACATATTAAACTGCCGGTCAAACTATCCATTATGCTAATACAGCAAACTTTTGTATGACTGTGAATAACTCTTAATGGTACCGAGTCTGAGGATTTTCATTGGGTAACAAAGAGTGCCATTTGCCGTGCAATTTCAAAGTCATGCAAACACTTTTCTAACAACACTGAAAAGCCAGAGCTACATTTTACATGTATCCTATAGCATCTGCACCAAGAGGTCCAGATCCCCGCAGACCCCGGGGGGGGGGGGACTCCGCCAGGATTTGGGTAGGGGTGTTCCGCTACGATTCTGAAAGGGGTACCCTGTTTATGACAAAAGATATAATTAATTGCACTGAGTTCCTGTTTCAATATTATCATGTCAGCTCACGTATTGTTTGTTTTTTTTTGACGACCATAATACCCCCCCCCCCC